AAAAAAAAAAAAAACACCACATATTTAGTATCAAAATATTTAAGCCATGACAATTAAATGTAATGGATGCGTATCCAATATGATGGTTATAGATACATTATTCCCTTAAGCAATAGTTTGGTTTCCAATCATAAGGTCAGTATATTACCAAAGTATTATAATTGACAATTAAACCTTAGTTTAGTAGTCTCAATCATTAACTGTAGTCGAAAAAGGGAAAGATTTATTATATTCCAAAATCCTAATCATCACTCCCCAACAGCACCGCTACTCAATTCATTGATTTTCTTATTTAAAGAGCAATCAATCCCTCCAATCCAACCCCATTCTCTCCAAACTTGTCTTCACTCTCATAACTAACTACATTTGATTTGATGGACACCAGTAATCCTATTTCGAGTTGCCAGCAGCCGCCGGACGACGCGTCCGGGCCCGGGTTCTTCTCCGGCCGGTGCATCATCGTGAACGGTCCCGTGATCGTGGGGGCCGGCCCGTCCGGCCTGGCGGTGGCGGCATCCCTTTACCTTCAGGGCGTCCCGTTTGTTGTCCTGGAGCGCGCCAGCTGCGTGGGCTCCCTTTGGCAGAGCCGCACGTACGACCGCCTATCCCTCCATCTCCCCAAGCACTTCTGCCGCCTTCCACACCTCGACTTTCCCCCAGAATTCCCGGAATACCCCTCCCGGGCACAGTTCATCACCTACCTCGAGTCGTACGCCACCCGCTTCAAGATCCACCCAAGGTTCGGAGAGGCGGTGAGTCGGGCGGAGTATGACGACGCTTGCGGTCTCTGGCGGGTCACGACGTCGTCCGACACGGAGTACATGTGCCGGTGGCTGGTTGTGGCCACCGGGGAGAATGCCAACAAGGTCGTGCCGGAGTTTGAGGGGTTGGGGGATTTCGGAGGGAGCGTGATGCACGTGTGCGATTACAAGTCGGGAGAGGCTTTCGCCGATAAACGAGTGCTCGTGGTCGGCTGCGGGAATTCGGGCATGGAGGTCTCGCTCGATCTCGCGCATCATGGGGCCTTGCCGACTCTCGTCGTCCGGAGCGCCGTGAGTGTTAATAATTATCCATCTCATTTTGTATTCTTGTTTTGGCTCAACTCAACTCTAAAACAATATATTACATTTTTTTATATAAATTTTGTTTAAAATATTTAATTTGGACAACATATGTAAATTAAAATGTGTATAATTGTCATTATATAATTCAATTAAAGTGATCTACTAATTTGTAATTTTGAATCAAGAGAGTACGGATTTAAATTGTAGATATAAGTATGGAATTTTCAGTTTGTCGATTTGGGCGGAAATTAGGCTTGAATTGTTAACTAATTTAAGCTCTAATATGTCAAAGTGCCTAGCTAGTAGGATAGTGTGAATGAAGGACTAGTTAATTATTTAAATTTAGGCAAAATTGTATTTTGTGCCCTGTAACTATACGTGTGTGGTAAATGTGGACAACTTCTTTTTGGTTTGGCAAAAGTGCCCCAAAACTTGTTAAAACCCGGAATTCATGCCCATTTACCTACAAGTTACCGGATTTGACCGGTTTTTCGTGTGACAAAACAGGACAGTAACTTGTTAAAATTTGAAATTTGTGCCAAAATTGAGCACGAATTTCGAGTTTTAACAAGTTTCAGGGCACTTTTGCCAAACTAAAAAGAAGTTGTCCACATTTGCCACACACTCCTAGTTACGGGACATAAAATGCAATTTTGCCTTTAAATTTATATTATTTACTATATTGGACAAGTAGTATCTAAAGTTTGATTGCGAAATTTGGGAATATTATATTTCTTTATTTTTTTTTTAAAAAGAGAAAAGAATAATCTTGACAAAAATGTACCTATATCTAGGAATCTTTGAATAATGAATCAACTTTTTTGATTTAACAGCGATGCAGTTTTTGAATAATTAGACTTAACTGCATGAGCACTAATTATTTCATAAAGGTAATAGTAACTTTATTGGTGTACTGTCTACAGGTTCATGTGTTGCCAAGGGAAATATTGGGACGGTCAACGTACGGGCTAGCGAGCTGGTTGACGAAATGGGTTCCGGTTCGGCTGGTGGACCGGATCCTGCTGGCAGCATCAAGGTTGATCCTCGGGAGAACAGAGGATTACGGGCTTACAAGGCCCGCAATGGGCCCGTTGGAGCTCAAGAGCACGCAAGGCAAGACCCCGGTTCTCGACGTGGGTGCATTCCCCAAGATCAAATCGGGCCACATCAAAATCGTGCCTGGAATTAAGAAATTCTCACAACATGGGGTCGAGCTCGTCAATGGCCACATTCTTGATCTCGATTCGGTTATTTTGGCCACCGGCTACTCGAGCAATGTTCCTTCATGGCTAAAGGTGGGTAACATTTTTTGTTTTTTGGTAAGGTTCTAAATTAGTAGTTAGTTGGTCTGATCTTTGTCTTTTGTTTTCAACTCTGATGAATAGGAAAGCAAGTTCTTCTCGAAAGATGGGTTTCCGAGGCCTCCCTTTCCAAACGGGTGGAAAGGGCAAGACGGGCTTTACGCGGTTGGTTTCGGGAGAAGGGGTCTCGCGGGTGCATCTGTGGACGCCGTCAAAGTCGCGAAAGATATCGGGAGGATTTGGAGTCAAGAGACAATGCAGAGAAAGTCATACTCTAAGATGCACTGACCCAAAATCACAACAATTCTTAATAAACAAGCTTAGATCCTTTATTCTATTTAGTGTCTCATCTTATATTATCATATAGCTAGTATCATTATGATACACTGCATAGAATAGGGGATCTTGATTTTCATTTGAGGCACGTTTTAGAAAATATATATAAATATATTTCTTTTTTAGTTGGGTTTTTGGGGGGCTTTAGTAACTT